CATGAGGTGAATTCATTCTAGGAAATCGGAATAAAAAGGTTTTTGTGGGTCCAGTGAGACTGTAAACTTCAATGTTGCAAAATGAAATTCGATCTCGGAAAGAGGCGCGGTGTCCGTGAAGCAAAGCTCGCATTTGCACTGTGCATGATAAAATGCACTGACTACCCTTCCGTCCCTGCATCACTGACATGGTCAAGATTTATTAAAAGTGATAAGGTCCTAAATAGTTTCAGCGGATCAGAATCAACCCCGCACTTGAGTGGTAAGAGTATGTATGGCTTATACCGATGGAATAGAGTAACCGTTCGCCTCAAACAGCCCTTCATGTTAACTTCAAACCACATGTGTATGAACGTAGTTGTTCAAATGAGCTCAATTCAACCGAAACCGATAAACTTTTCGGAAAAGATTAGCGTATTGCGCCTCATCACTCATGCAGCGCACTGAATTATTGGCCCAGAAACAAATGCAGACTAATACCGACACGCAGGAAAGCCACGGAATCCTTTCACATCAGTTTTCGTCATTTCTTGAGATGCGTCGGCCCGCGCTATTTCATCAAAGCCTTCGACAGCGCTTTGATTCGAGCCTGGTAATCCTCTTGCACGGAAGGAAAGAGTAGCCAAAGCAAACACATCTCAAGAGGTGCCGCCCGGAGAGATTGAAATTGCACGCTAACCATGCCTCTACAGTACGACCACTGGTTTATTCCCAAGAAGTAAAGCCAAAACTAGGCCAAATGTCCCTTCAGTGAGCAAATGATGGTGAAATTTTAATAGGTTCCCTGAAGCTCTTGAAAACATGTGTGTTTTTATCCATTTGTTATGACACCCACCCATTGAATGTGTGGAGATATGTTATCTCCACACATTCAATTACATTAGTAACGTTCAGTCAGCACCAGAAGCAGACACCTTTTATCGACATGTACAGTAGCGCTCAAAAGTATACGGCGAAACGCTTTTCACTCGTACTTTCCAGTCACAACTCCTGGATCTAATCAAGCTAAATATAAATATGTGAGCATTGGTGTAGTGTGAATATCTACCACTATTAAAAAAAAAGAAAAAAGAGAAAACCAATGAGGGACTAGTGGAACTGGACAATATGACTGTACTGACATGAATCTAGTATTATTATCTGTAAACAATTGAGATCTCCAATCCAATGCATTGATCGATTGGTATTCCGCTAGATTTCCAAGTATATGAGCACAAGTATTTTTCAATGAACGTGTGGAAAACGGTTCCAACACAATGAATCACCAAACCATCATTTGTGAAATGCTACAGCCTGCCTTAATGAACTACTTGACATTGCCAACGTGGACGAAAGTTCATCATTCCAATCTCACCAGCGTGGCTGCCCGAATTACGAGATTTCCAAAATGGCAGTTCTCCAGTCCTTTCGGTTTTTTTTTATATTCGGTCCTTTAAGATATTGCTGAGATGTTTGAAAAGGTAGGAGGTAGTTTGCGCCCAAGTAACGTGGAAGAGTAAGAGCAGCAATCCACAACTCGTTCAACTTCTGATAGACGATCTGCGAACCATGGCGATTCATCATTACTAGCTGCATTTGTATAGAAATTCGTCCACAAAATCACACATGAAACTGATCTCACTCGTATCAGAATGAGAGATCGGTTTTGTCTACGATATCCAAGCAGATTAATTAGAATTTTCCCACGGGGAAGTTTGAAATTTCTTGGAATTTAATATAGCATATGCCAAAACTTTGCAAAAATCTTCAAGAAATCGAAAAATCAAAGAACTGCTTCCGAATCTTGTACTTTGCCCTCGCACCCACACTTTAAACATTTTTATTTGCCATTTCATTCTCTTACGAGTAGCCCTCCCGCAAGCCTTCAATTTCAGAACCACTAGCAAAACATGGGAAACAGTCCTTTCAACGCCGAGAACTGGGAGCAGGTGATTACATAACGTCACCATTGAATTTTGATTACAGTAACAGTGCAGCGGACATAAGTGCATGACAACATTTCAGCAGGTGTACGGTGAAAATTGGTCGTTCAGGACCGCTGAGCGATCCTTTCCAATCAGGAATTCTACAAAGAAAAACGACATCGAAATGGAGAAACAACAAATTCTTCATAGAATAAATCGGAGCTACCACGGCAGGAACCAAGTACAAGCCACACTTTTGCTCTTTGAGGGAAACAAGATTTTGAAGGTTACTACAATTGTCACTGTAAGACTGAGCTATAACGTTCCACTATATTCTGCCAAAAAAAAAACCCCAAGAGAAAAGAAAAATATGGCTAGTTTCGAGGACGTCTAACCATTTAGACACTTACAGAAATAGTAAGGTGCCATATTTAACTTTTCGAATATCAAATGACTAGCTTCTTGTAAATTAACCCCTAGAGATGGACCGTGAAGCAATTCCACTTACATTTGAAAACAAATTGGAATGCTACTGCGTCCTATGCACCTTGTATAAAGACTTAATATTGAAACCAATAGTTAGGTTCTTTTCCGCCATGAAGGAAAACAAAACCCACCTGGACATGCATCTTGACAATCGCCTTTCCAATCAGAGTCGCGCCGAAGAAAGACCAAAATGGAACAAGAAAATGCCCACATGTAATTCCTTAAAATGAAAATTCGGAGGATTCCTTATCATCGAATTATGCGATCTATAGCCACCACTGTACTCAACACAAAATGGAAGCGACCAGAAAGCCACAACCAACAGTCAAGCGTTTGATAGACGAAGGATTTGACACAGCTTGACTTTTAGGGGTGCGATTCTTCTACCCGAACGGCTCACCGCGCTCGCCACATCCGCAACTGCAAAAAGGAGATTTAATTTCTGGCGGAATGTTGCGATATTAGCCCAGAAATCACTGCCTCTTGCGGTGGGAGTTCGGGTAGAAGTACCGTTACTGCCAAGAAAATCAGATGCATGTCTGTCGCAAATGTGGTTGATGCCAGCTAAGGAGAAACAAAAACAAAATATGCAGTTGCATCAACAAAGGAACAACACCATCCCGTTCAGCCATATATCCACTAACCAGCGAGGTCGAAAAGTGGATTAGGAATTGAAGCGAAGAGCAAAATCCCAGGAAAACCAACTCTCGAAATAAACCTCTCCATCCAAGCTTTTCCACGATCGGTCCATGACTGAAAGCCGATCAGAAGTCCCCAAAAAATACACGGTAAAGAAATGGCAAATGAACAATGGTCTAAACAAGACAATGCTTCCATATGCTCACCAGTTCATCGGCTCCCTTCTTGTTGGCATTCATTAANTGAATGAATTCTTTGTACTCTTCATCATCCGGCTCCTCACCGCTAAGACGAGCTGCTCTTGCCATGAAATATGGCGGTAGCTCTCCAAGAGCCGTTCCGGCTCCCCATAACAACGATTCTACACGAACCTGAATATTCTTATTCCATAATAGGACACAGCTGTATAGCGATTATTTACGAAAGAATTTTGAAAGATGTAGGACTGTACCTTGGCAACAATTTGCCAAAGAGATATAGCAATCGAGGTTGTAGCCGATGCCTTTCCACTAGGGCAAACAATACTGAAATTGAACGTTGCAGAAGAAAAACTACAACATTTTCGCTGATACAATAGTACACCAATTGGACCGGCCGCTTTGTTTCTTTAATTAAAGCTGAGCTCATTTCCCTTTCAATGTCAAAGAAAAGACGAAATCGTGACACCCACTTTGTTTTTTCCAACTTTCAAAGGTTTATAGCCTCACATCTGAAGTATTCATAGTTTTCTGAGACATCTATATCCTAAGGAGAACAAAGAACATAAGTTCATCAAGTCAAAATTTAGGCCACACAATTTTGTAACAATCTGAGGACGAGCGATACTTAATGTAGTATTACAAAGGCAAAATGAAATAGCTAATTAAAACTACAACTGACCTATCCGGATACGGAGGCTCTGGGAAGTTAAGACTGTTACACTCGTACGCGGCCAATGTAACCGCAGCAATGTGTGGTCCCTATAAAAGAGTGAAATAGTAACCACATGGCTGGGCATGACTATAAAAAAATAACAGAACAGGCAGAGATATTTTGGTTAGAAAATATGCAGAAAAAATGGCAAATCAGTGGTGAAAAGAGAAAGAACTCACTAAATAAATTAAGAACGTGTGCAAGCCAGACCCTAAACCGATCGACGACAACACACCAAGAAATACCCACCATCCCCACCTAAAAAATGAAATGCATACTAGGAAAACATAACAATAAGTAAAACCGATTAAGTCAATTGAAAGCGACTTAAGAAGGTGGAGAGACCCAATGAACTGAATTTACAAATTCTTTATTCCCCAACCTTCCCCAAGATTTTCATAAACTGATTTCCGGCTCGGCTAGTTTGAATGTTCTCTCACTGAAACAAAGACTTCAAACTCTCAGAATGGTGCAGTATAGGGTTTTTCTTCTTTAACGAATCTGGTAGCAATTAACAGACAGCAAATGGATGAAAAGCTCAGTTAGCCTGAATGGGTATGGGATAACGCAACATTTTTTTCCAGCTCTCTCAATGACGGAGGTGCTACTCAATGCAATCCATCTTAGCTTTGTGCCCGCATAATGCGCAGTAGGATTCATGAATTAATTTTGCAACACAGCTTTTCCGTTTTTATTTTTGGGAAATATCACATGAATATAATCTATTTGGGACTACTTATTTATTTTCAGAAGTCTGACGGGAAACGCGCGGAAATGTGACACTCGTTCCATTCTGAAGGGTTTTAGTCCAGTACCCTTGTAATGTTCCCGCGGCATAGCAAAACAACATTCTTTTACTCTCCATAGTTCCAAATATGGGTTCACTGAACACAAAACTAATTTCTCTAAAAAAACTCACCATAGTATTTTCTTTTCAATCACAGCAATGTATTGCTGATGTTGTCCTGGTGTAATATAAGCATAGTAGAATAAAGATGACATAACGGAAAGTGAAAACAATAAAGCTTTATGATTAAGCATTCTGAAACGAAACAAACTGTTGCCATACCTGAATTTCAGACAGTTTGACCTTTCTAACTAATACAACATTGTTCGAAATAAAATACTGAAAGAATGTTGTGTTTGTTTTGACTTACCCAGTAAGAAATTCGAGACATAAATTAAGTCCTTCCATAAAAGCATAGTATACTGTTGTGAAAGGTTGCCTCCATAAAACGATCTTTTCCCTAGCAAGCCTGTTGAGAGTATTGGTTGAAGGCGACGGTCTCAGACCTCCATTAGCCTGACCACTGCAAAAAGGGGACTAGATAAAGTGACAGAAGCTGAAAAAAAATCCATTCAACAGTAAGCCTAACAATCTCACGTAGGTGAATTAATGAAGATGCACTTCCAATTCTAAGAAGTGCAAATTCATAAAACTAAAGTACTTTAGCACAACCGTAGCACAAAAAGCACTACAGGTCGTGAAATTGACAAAACAATCAATTCCAAAAATCATTCATTCTACCAAATATATACCAAAGTATTAATTCAGCGACTTCGATCTTTTTATCTTCCATGTTCAAAAAAAAAACATATGCCCAATTAATCTCCAGAAATATCAAGGTTTTCATGTGCACTGATCCCTTATCGATTCACTGTTGCAATGAACTATTTTAGTACAAAAAGGGACCGTTCAATTTCATCCCACAAAAAAGCACCGGACAAAAGGTTGTCTTTCAAAGCAGGAAAAAGTGGTAGTTGTTGCATCATTCATGTTCAGCAATGTGGAAAAAACCGAGACTAACTGTTCATGAATTGAAAACTTCAAAACAAAATAACAGAAGACCAACTCACTTCTTAGGCTTCAATCCTAATCCATTGAACTCTACTTTCTTTTCCTTTTGATCCTTATTTAGAGCTGCACCGACTGCGGCCTTACGTGGAGGCGTCTTCTTTTTTGTTTTCGTAACCATTTCGGTGACTATAAAAGTAATAATACTACCAAACGGAAAGGAAAGTTTGTACGACGCAATTCATAGTAAATTATGGCATTTCTGTACTAGTACAACCCCAAAGAGAAGAGGAGATCGTCTGCCTTTAACATCGTTAGTAAAAGTTTCTGATAGCACTCTTCTCAAGCGCAAGTCATTTTCGACGAGTTTCCTTCTGGTTTTCCATGATTATTCAATTCAGTCTATTCGTCTGTAGAGATGATTCAGTGCCCTTGTGAAATACACCGTACCCTATTCTTTTTATAAGCAAAAGAGGATAGAAAAGCGATCGCCCCAATAATACAAGGCATTAACTTGACCAGGATTACTGAATACTCCAAATAATGAGAATTCAGCTAACTCCCTCTTACTCATCGGAGTTGTAAAGTAGTATAGGGGCAAACATAATAGGACGATAAGACCTCTCAATAAATTGGAGCATACAAAATTAAGCCGGATACGAGGCAGAAAGAATACAAGGACCAAGAGGTCTGCTTGCTAAGCAATTGCCTACAATCCCCTAAAACTAGCGATAACGTTCCATGAAACTGATGGAGATTCACAGAAAACAAGTTTAATGAAGTTAACGGCGATGTCGCCCGAAATCGATCAGGCGTTGCGCCCGGGCAGCAGCCCCCTCGCCCAACAGCTTATACTTAAATTGCCCAGTGCCCCTCGGAAACATCCCCATGACATCAGAGAAATGGAAAAAATCGAAGACAACGAAAAAAATTAACACACATTTGTAGAACTAATAACACGCAACAAATGTCGTGGCCACGACGATCTTTGACGACAGTGTGTATATGAAGAATCAAAAAGTTACCGTAATCCAAAATTGTTGAAGCAGTCACAAAAGCTTGCTAACGACGTGTTGTGATAAGGAAGGGCTATTTTTTCCCCGAAAGCAATTCGAAGGGGGGAGTGCTACTGCTCAAAATGTAAACTAATATTAGCCGAGTGCAGCAGTTGTAATGGCTTTGTACTAACCGGTTTCCATTGATACAGATGTCCGTGGGCGGCGGCAGTGACGACGGGATAGAACTTCCAGTTGACGGAATCGATGTTGTGGGGTTGTAACGAGGGAGTCACAATCAATTACTCTGTAACATCTCATTGAGAGTGAAGTAAAGTTAATTACGAAGAACAGGTACTGAGCGCCGAGAACGCGAACGAAACCGAGTGTTTACTGCCACTCCGTGAAAATCATTTGAAAAAAAGAAGACAGTGGAGATGAGCATGGCGGATCAGCCAGACGGAATTGATCAATGATGAAAAAGTAAGAAAAATGGCTGTTTCGGGTGTAATGATCAGAGAACGGTCGATTGAAAAACCACGGAGAGCAACAGGAGTCACTCAACGCAATGTTTGAAGTAAAAGCCAATGGTACGGTAAGTGACAGTACGAAGACTCAACAATCTTCAGCACCGTTCTTGTAGGTGTTAAAATCGCTACTCCACCTACGGGCTTCAATAAATCCAATGAGAGTTGAACACACTATCACATCAAGCCAGATTCGTTACTATTACGCCAATCTTTATAAAAATCCACTAAAACAAGTTGGAGAGCCAACATTCTGTTGGAAGGGGTACTGCTTGTTCTTACAGCGGAAAAGGATGCCAAGATAGTTTAGGAAGTAACCAAAATTACCGGAAAGGAGGAGGTCATAGGGGAAGTTTCAATGGGTATGTGACCTATACCATAACTTAGAGTGGCAACCGATGTACAACTCAGTGCATTTATCCTCTCTGTGGGATACTGTACCTATTCACCGATCCGGGAGGAATAGAAGATTTGACTGATGTGGGCAGGTATCAATTAAGGAACCGATCCCCGGACCGTGCGTACATGATAGTGCGCCCTTTGCCACTACACTATCTCCACCCGTATATACACATATACATATATTCAAAAGAATAGGTTTAATGCTTTATTTTGTGCTAGGTAGATTGGTCTGGGAGGATAAAAACATTAGTTTGTACATCAGGTGGTCGCTGCAAGTCATTGCACGGGCCGCATAAGTATCCAGACAGCCACTACGATTCTGAACGAAAGTGCAATGCAGGGCGTATTCCTAAATGGGATTGATCAGTGCAAGTGACTTTGTCCTTTACTATGTAAGGAAAAAGATGAGCTTATAGATAAATACAACTATATTCAGTTTACTCAATGGTACGATTACATCCCATTCGTGGACAAAAACAGTGTTTTTAACATTGGCATCAGCCTTGACGTGGAGGACTCGAGAAAGAAAGTGGCGGAAATGGCTCAGGGAGGGGAGAGGTGGGGGAGGGGGGGGGGGGG